CCTCCCTCCCTCCCTTCCTTCCTTCCTTCCTTTTTCTTTTGAGAGGAGGTCTCACTATGCAATCTGCCTGCCTCCACCTTCCTTACTCTGGAACTGAAGATGAAAGACGTGCATCACCATGCCTCCCTCCTTATAAGAAATTGCTTTATGATTTCTTTATGATTTATTGTCAGTCAACATTGGATCTATTTTATATGCATATATGCCTTGGTCATGTAAAAGTTTCTCAGACAAGTGTTGAGAGTGCAAAAGATTTAAGGAGTTCTTCTCCAGGTAGGTTAGGGGTCAACAGTTGGTCATTCCATCTCTGTCACTGCCACTCAACGCCACCACTGTGGCGAGAAGTATACCACGGAGTGAGTTTGTTTTCTATGGCTCCAGTGACAGAGCATCTCAGAATACAGGTAGGTTAGGGGTCAACAGTTGGTCATTCCATCTCTGTCACTGCCACTCAATTCCACCACTGTGGCGAGAAGTATACCACGGAGTGAGTTTAAGTGTTTTCTATGGCTCCAGTGACGGAGCATCTCAGAATACGAGTATGTGACAGAACAACAGAACTGTGCCCTCACAGCTCCTGAGTGTGTCAGGCCAAGGTGTAGGTAGAGCGGGGCTCCCTCTGAAGTTTGTAAGGGAGATGGCTTCCTTCCTTCGTCTGCTTGTGGTATCAGCAAAGGGCCTTTAGCTTTCTGTGGCTAATGGAAGCATCAAAGCAATCACTGCCTCTCTCATTGATACTGGAATATACAGGAATCTTTGAGCAGCAAAGCCTCTTTGTCTCTTGCTATACCTGGCTTGGAGAGATAGTCTCAGAAACTCATCGGCACTAAAGCCTCCCCACAACAATGGCTTTTGGGGTTCTGTCTCTTGAATTTGAAGAATGAAAATCATGGACCACAGAGTGTAAGTTTAAGAAGTGTTTATGGGGTGGAGAAATGGGTTAGCGGTTAAGAGCACTGGCTGCCTGCTGAGGAATGGAGTTTGGGTCCCAGCACCCATATGGTGGCTAACAACCATTGGTAACTCCAGTTCCAGAGGATACAACACCCTTTTCTGGCCTCCGGGGCACTGCATGTGGAGGTGCATTTACATACATGCGGGCAAAATACATACACATAAAATACAAATAAATAAATCAAAAGATATTTTTATAAACGAAAGAAGGATTTTATTATAGAGAGCGCAGGAGAAAGAAGGCAGAGTTCCTGTACAGCTGGAGTGGTCCCCAGCAGCCGACTTCCATTGACCCTCATTGCCTCGGAGTTAATAAGGCTTCAGTGGATGGAGCCATGGCAGGTGAGGAGAGATGAGCCGATTCAGGTGTCCGGTTGCCTGGAAGCTTCAGTCAGCTTCTCAGTGTAGCTTCCAGGACCTGGGACTTCTTTCGGTGAAAAGAGACAAAGACACCCAACTCCCTTCCTGTCATCTCCAGCCTCTGGCCATGGTAGAACCAGAGACATTTTTGGCTTAGACACTTAATGGCATCTCTGGCCCCCAGAAGGACAAAGCTTCCTACAGACCGAAGGACATTTCTGGGTTTTAGGCAAGAAAGAAACTGGTCGATGTTCTTTGGGGTCTTTTTGTCCTAAATCGCCCAGTCCATTTCTGCCTCCTGTTCTGAAAACACTATTGAGGTCTTTTGATTTTCATCTTGATTGCTTCTATAAAGTTCCTGTTTCCAAACAAGGTCACAGGCACAGATACAGGGAATTAGAACCATGACTTGACCCGTGACACTCATATTTGCATTCCCCTTCCATCCTGAGTAGTTTCATGTGATTGTTTAATCACGGTATTTCATACGCTCTTAATTTCTATTTGCTGTTCTTTCTTGGCAAACCTCAGTGAGTTAAATCCAACTTTCTCTCTGTTCCATTTTCATATCCACATCATTTAAAACGGAGAACCATTCGCTAATGTGCCCTTGGGGTTTATTCTCTATCTATCGCTGCTAATCTAACTGGACAACAGGTGCTTTGTCAGGAAGGATACCTTTTAGTGACCCAATCATTTTCCTTCTTTCCTTAATAATGTCTCAAATTCTTACTCCCCACCCCTAAACTTCAGCTAGTGGCCTAATTGAGGGAATTCAGTGATAAGATAGGAAAGGGAATGGAGAAGCAAGAGAAGCATCACAATCTGCCATTGCTAGATCTACTCTCGCCTCACAAGGCTATTAATAGTGCCTGTCTCCCTCCTCTTGATCCTGTGGACCTATCTCCGCTTCTAATCTCTAGCTCAAACATATACCCCCCAATTTCCTTTCCTCCAATTCCTTTTCTTCCAACTCCCATCATTTTTGGTCTCCAATAACATCAAAGACATTTGCATTAATAAACGTGGTAGTCAATTTCCAGCTCTAAATTTAATTATGTATTAACACAGTTGTGTCATATTGACCACTCATCTTCTTCACGT